TATATATATTCTGTTTACATTTTAGTTAAAGTTTTAGTAATGTTTTTGTGTTTGTGCCATTTTTCTATGTAGTTTTTACTTTTTAAAGTTTGTAGTTTTATTTTATTTAGTTTGTATGGAGACTTCCACGGGATAAAAAAGGTAATTGTGACTTTTTGTCTCACAATTCTAACTTTTTTTCTTACAATTCTGAGTTCACTTTTTGTCCGCCACATGTTTTCATACACTTTTCTTCTCAGAATTGCAAGTAATAAATTCACATCTCGCAATTCTGAGTTTATATCTCGCAATTCTATATAAATTTTTTTGCAATTTATAAATCCCAATTCAGACTTTTTTTCTTGCAATTCTGAATTTTATCTCACAAATTCTCATAAAAAAACAAACTTACAAACTTGTAATTGAAATAAACAAATACAATTGTAAGAAAAAAAGGCAGAATTGTGAGATGAAAAAGTCGCAGTTTTTTTAGTTACGTGTTTTTTTTTTGTTTTGTTTTTTTAACCTGTGGCAGAAATAAGCTTCCAAAAACACAGCAAAATTACTAAAACTTTACTAAACCGAAAATCAAAAAAATAATATCTAATTCAATATATTAACAACAACTATAATAGTATATCAATGATAATAAAATTAAACTGACTTGAACATTCTGCCAGTATCTCCTTTTTGTTCCATGCAAGAAAACATCATACAGGTTTGGAAGATTTTCAAATTGGCTAAACTTCCTTCAAAAGAAAAGTACATTTATTTAATCCCTGAAACATTTCTGCCCTACCATAGAAGGAGAGTCGCCCCTTCACTGTGTTTTTGCCTCTGGAGTTCTCAGCCATGCATTCAAATAGCCCTGCGTCTTCCTGTTGGAAATAAGGGATCTCCAACACACCACTGGATTTGTTAACATCCACTTTTCTGGGAAAAGGAACTCCGTCTGGTCTTCTCCAGGTGATAGCAGGTACTGGACTGAAAGCAAAAGTTAAAGTTGATTGTTTAATGAGCTATATTTCTCTTTAAATAATAACTGCAAATGAAACCAAGTCTCTATATCAGTGAGCTGCTGTTAGTATATTGTGTATCAACTGTAATATTTACTTTCCCAAAGCGAAGCACTCCAGTTTGACTGTCAACCCTTTGGCAACAGCCACAACTTCTGGAAACTGGATCTCAATTTTTGGCTCATATTCTCCCATAACGCCTTAAACACAGAAAAAAGAGTGATTTTTTTCCTATTAAAACATGTTTAAAATCACATATGAGTCATTTTTATGAGCTGAATACATATGGTAAGACCATCACCATCACTGCGGAGTACAAGTGGCGTGGGAGGTCCCTGAACTCTGCTTTGGGTCACAGAGTTAGTCACGACACAGGTGTAGTTTCCCACGTCTGAGGGCTCCACTTTAGCGATGTACAGGTTGCCTGTTTTCTGTGACACAAAGCGCCGCGTGTCTTGCTTCACGAATGAAGGATATTCGTTAAAGATCCAGGAAAAAGTCAACTCTGTAGGAAAGTCAAGAGGTGAGACTTGCTGTACTGCACGACATGCTTTGAAGAACATTTCAGAAACCCAGTGAAGTGAATAAACAGAATCACACAACCTTGAGCATGGCTTTCATTGTACATGGTAAACTGGTAACTCTTTACAATAAGGTTCCATTTATTAATACTAGTTTAGTTAACATTAACTTCTAAAGCATTAATTAATCTCAGTAGTTAATGTTAATTTCAATACTTAGAAATACATTATTAAAACCAAAAGTTGTATCTGTCCATCCCTCTATCCATCCATCCATCCATCCATCCATCCATCCTTCCAATTTACATCCATCCATCCATCCATCCATCCATCCTTCCAATTTTCATCCATCCATCCTTCCATTTTACATAGGGTTGCGAAACGTGCCATTTTTATGGGACACATCCTGGCCAGGATTTCTATATTGCCTAAAATATCCAGGTTTTGGCTGTTTGCGCAGCGCAGACCAATCGGTGTATGACATCTGTGAGAGTTATAGAGAGCAGAAGCTCCTTATGCTTTCGAATCGCTCTCACAGTACTTTGATGTCAAACATTGATCGGTCTGCGCAGCGCCGAACAAACGAACAAGTCGAACGAACACATCTAATCTTTATGCGTATTTGCATCGCTTTGACCGTTCTCTGTAGATCCCACCTGCTCACGTGACAAGATTGGCTGATTATGTACAATGCCTGCACGTTACTGGTCAAGCTAGTTTTCTATCATTAGCTTCAGCAATTATGAAAACAAAAAAACAAAGCCAAATATAGAAATCCTGGCCAGGACGTGTCCTGTAAAAATGGCATGTATGCGTTATGACTGGTTAGATCGCCTGTCAATCAAACTCCCTGCGAAGGGTCAGTTAGCATATGTTTTGGCATGTGTGCAAAAGAGTAAGTACAATTGTCTACAATTTGCACAATAACTAAATGCACATGGCTTGTTGATCAAAACTGATGAGTTGATTCTCAGTAAAATTGTCAAACTCTTCACAACTTATAAACATATTTTAATGTGAGTCATCAGATGCAAAATGGTCCATTCAATTATCTGTCAGACATTGCATGTGCTGTTTATTCCATAAATATCTGACATGGAATGTTTGTAATGTCTGCTAAGTTTCCAGATGGCCTGTCATTGTAATGAAATATGAATCACAATCTTAACAATCAAGTTTGGAAGTGCATATATGGAGTTTGTCCAGCATAATCACTGCCATTTTTGAACAAGGAGGAATGACACACCCTTAAACAGCAGCAGCTACAGCAGTACTGTACAATACATACCTTTATCTGTAGATATTTGTTAATCTAAACTGAAAACTTACAGTTTCTTGTCATGGAAGAGCAATAGGCAGATATGTAAGAATGTGTAGTGGTGTTGGGGGAAGACATTATAGAGTGTGTAAAAATGAACAAGCAAGAGTGAATTTTCAGTTTACATTTAACACATTTTTACAAAAATAAAAGTACTGTATAATAAAAATGTTCATTTTCTTTTTGTGTACTACAGTATTGCCTTTTCCCAATACATTTTTACCTACTGTTGAAATCTGTATCTAAAATGCTCAGTGTGATACACAGTCAAAACCAACTGTTGTCTAGTGATTCACTGTGGACCTGGATAAACATCAGTTTGACACACATCAAACTATTATGTCAAGGTCTTCCAATACAGAAACAATTCTATGATTAAATGTGCTGGCCTATTACATAGTAAGTCAAATTTTAGATTAAAAACAACTTCACGTGCAAAGTATAAATACTAATGTTAAAGTTGAAAGCTTCTGCTGAATACAATAAGCAGCATGGGTTTTTTTTCTTTTCTTTCAAGTGCAATATGAATTTTATGCGTTGGGCTGTAATGTGTACTTGATATTACACTGATATTATTGGGAAGTTACTCCCTTAACTGCATCAATTTGTATCCTGTTTCATTTTAATTATGCCTTAATGGCTTTATATTGGCCTTAATGGTCATTACATGAAGTGCTACAACATATAGCCATGTTACTCTGCAATATATAGGGGTAACATATGAAAGATGTTGCACTATTTGTCTACCAGATAATACTTGAATGCCAAGATGAAGGATTCATACTTATGGGCTTAAAATCTATTAAAAGCTAATTTCAGCATTTTACTGATACTTGTGCATTAAAAATTTTCTTTCCGCACAGCAAGTCGCGCTGGCTGGTCTTATTCATTGGTCAGGCATCGACCGATAAAATGGCTTCATTCGCACCCTAGCCCCATCACCGGTTCTGCTCTCTCGCATCTGCATTCACAAGTGCACAAGTGAGTTTTGCTACAGGAATATCGTGAAAGAAGTAGCAAAAGTTGATTTGAAGTTGTACTGCTAGATCTGAGAGGTTGTAAGTGCTGACTTGTGGTTGTACAGCGAAACTGAAGTAAAGTGCAAAAGTAAACATGTCGTACACATTTGCGTCTGTCATTTTGTTTATGTGAATGTCATTTTACACATTTGTAATTCCTAATATGCAACTATGAATTCAAAACACGGGCGTTTTGATTATTGTCTGAGTGTGCAAATCAAAAGATTCAGCTTTTTTTAACATCAGAGCTGTGTGTACATTTCAGGTAACAAATACGAATATTATAATGACAAGTTCTCAAATTCAAATCAACAAGCCCTCGAGTTTTGCTACTATTTTACCTTGCGAAGGGTCAGTTAGCATAAATCAATAAGCAGTTCAAATCTGATGTGAACAAGAAGCGAATTGTTCAGATATCTGAACTTTTACTGTTTTGAGAAAAAAAAAACATTTGGGAATTGAGCCAAAGGAATTGAGAAAAACTGTAACATTTAAAACTATGTTAAGTTCTTGTGGTTTTTGAGTTGTGAGTTTTTGAGGTGTGAGCATCTTTAAACCAAGAAAAAGACTGACAAATAAAACTTGAGTGCATCAGTAAAAAAGTATCTGATCTTTGCCCAAGAATCCAGGTTAAGTCCTGTTTTTCCTGATGGATCCAGAAAAAACAAGTAATTTTAGCCTTCGGTAAGGTTTAAAAGGTTTGGCTCCATTAAAGCAATAAGGTCTGATGTGTTCAGCCAAACACTAAACACAGTAATCAAGACAGCAGGGGACAGACAAGAACAACACTAATGTAGCACAGCTGTGCTAACTACTACTCATCTCAGGCAAAGCTTTTTAATGAGAAGTGACAGAGCAGCCGAGAATAAACCACTTTTATACTTAAAGGGATTGCTGGTCCCCATTGACTTCCATAGTATAGGGGAAAAACACTATGCAAGTCAATGGGGACCAACAACTGAAGGTGAACTATCCCTTTAAACATCCAAAGCATGTTGTGTGTTTTTAACATGTTGGAAACATTATCCTACATTTGACATTTTAAACATGTTTTATTACAGGGAAATGACACTGCTTATAAACTGTCTCAGTAAAAAAAAAAAAAAGCCCTGTTTTTTTCCAAGTTAAACATGTTCTGTTCTGAAAATGTCAACAATCTAAGTGACGACATGAAAAGGTCTAGTAATCAGTCTATTCAGGGTTTCTTAAGTATGGCCACTCATTGAGTTAACAGCAAAGAGCAAATACAAAAAGTTTGCTTCACATAACATTTAACTTGTGCTCTTTGGTGAGACACTTAAGGGCACTAAATCAACAGTGGAAAAAGGAGGCAGTGAGGTTGAAAAGCCTTTATGCTTTAAGCTAATTACAGTGAACCATAATTGCTGGTTGAGAGGTGGTTAATAGGAACAAACAGTAGAAACTACCTAGAGCAAAATCTCTCTGAACAGGTAACATCTGCACATATAATAACTTTGAATGAGACTCACATGAGGCACAATATAGAGTTTAGGAATGAGATTATTATTAAACATATTGAATTGCCATTGATCTTAATTTTTACTTTGCCATTCTAATAAAGACTAGTTATGGACTGAAATTCCTCCATCCATTCTCCAAATCGCTTATCCTATGTAGGGTCACAGAGAAGTCTATCCCAGCAGATATACTGATATGTCGGCAGAAATGAAACATTACTGTCTCATTTTCTATCATTAAGTAGAATTATATCATACACATGAGGGGTAATGTACAGTCAGGCAGTTAATTATCATCAGACCTTATATAACCATGAAAGGTTTTATTTAGCAATAATGACTGGCTGGATGTTCATTATCCTGCTATTACATGGCTACTTACTAAATAAATAAATGGACATAAAATATTAATTTGTTTTGAAATTATTTATTGTGTGAAAAGAAATAGACAACTGAATGAAAACTGTACAACAGTATAGCACAGCTAAGATGAAAACTGGTTGCCTGCTGCAGTTTAGCGGTCATTCAAGAAAGAATGAAGTTTAGACTGAAAAATCTCACAACTTACAAATCAGAATCAAGTTTTCAAAGAGCCATGTAATATATTTTGTCATTTCATTTGCTATATCCAACTTTTTTTTCTCAGTATTGCCATTGGCCACTGAAAAACCCAAGTCAGTCAGCCAGAAAATAGACAATAAAATGCCTCACCTCCCATATGTGCTGGAGGGCCACAGAGAAGAACCACACCTTGCCCCTCTCTAACGCTCACTGGACTTCTCCTCTGGGTTTTAAACTCCTCCAGATCTGTTAAAAAATGTCAAATGTCAGAAAGAAAGACAGAAATAAGCAATCTTGGTACAACAATTTAATCTACTCACAATTTACACCCTCAGACTGAGTACTCTTTAATAACAATTACATTTAATGACATTGTGTACTGTTTTAAACAAATAGAGAAAAAAAATAGAATGGAGTCTAGATCCACCAAAAATGATATCATTGTTTGTTTGTCTGTATGTTCCAGACTTTCTTTCTTCTATGGAACACAAAAGGAGATGTTTTGCAGAATGTTTATGCTGCCCTTTTCCATGCATTCCAATAAATGTACATGTTGCTCAGGAGTTTCAAAAATGACAAAAAGCTCCATAAAATTAGACCACTGAACTGAACAACTGAAGTTTTGTAATGATAATTTTGTTCTGCAGCTCTTAAATCTCATTCAAGTTTACCTAAAATCGAATGCCAGTGATGTCAAAAATCAGTTCTTGTTTGTCTCGTAACTGATCACGATGTACCAAATTTGAATACACAAAAGAAATATGAGATTCTAAAGATTAGATTTTTAGACTGTTTGTCACAGAAAAGTTTTGGTTTTTGGAAGACTTGGAATGTAGTGTCAAGACTCACATGGGATACTTTAATGATGCTGTTTTTTTTTTTAGCCTGGCAGTCCCATGTTCACCTTCATTCACTTTCATTGTATGATAAAGAGCAGCATGAACATCATGCCTAAATTATGCTTTTGTGTTCAGCAGAATGAAGCATATTATACAGGTTTAAAATGATTGCAAATTATCAAATAATTTTTCATTCTGTGTAAATTATTAAATTCAGAATAAACAGCTAAACTCAGCTTTTCTCCTTCATTGTTTTTAAAACCCATGAGGATATAAAATAATAAAAAATAAACCAACAAATAAAATAAACTGCATACTTTCATTTGTGAATATCTTTTATTCTGTGAAGGGAAAAACAGAGAATTGAAGTTGATGGAGGTTGCGTTTGCCTCACCTGCACTGAATTCAGTGAGGGGGTTGTGTCTAGAGAACGGCAAATTCAAACAGAATATGCATGAACAACACATCCACTCAAAACACGACAATCCCCGCACGCCTCCATGACACAAACTATTTCGACACCATCCACAAAGCAGGGGCTTGATCAGGCTTTAAAGCATGTGTCTGTGAGAGGGGTACTTTTTGTGCTCTGCATGTAAGTTCCACTGAACTACCCACATCAGGAAAAGTTTTCTTCCAGAATTTTCCGTAGACACATTTTTCAGTTCACATAATTACAGAGTCCTTACAAGACATTTCTATGAGGCCAAAATAAATAAACCGACAACTCTCTGCTATACATATGCAATACAATCATCTGCTCGTCGATACTGTACATATAAAGCATTCATCAAGAGGAAGACACACTCCACTGCCTCTAATTGGCTTCTCGGTTATCAACTATACGTTGTGTTCTATTCATTGCTCTCGGCAAAGTAAACACCGTAAGCCCTTGTGAAGCTGCTGAGATTGAATACAGTATTGTATTGAAAGTAATGAATTTGTGACCTGTAAAAGATAGAGTGAAGTAAAATGCTTTTTCTAGCATCTCCATAATTATATGTTAACAATGAATTTGAGAAAAGAAGTCAAATGTACCACAATATTCCTTCAACATTTCAAATAGGTTTAATATAAAACAATTAGTTTTTTTAATTAAAAAAAAAAGTATAGTGAAATCTTAAGATTACCTTTGCATGCTACACTCTTAAAAATAAAGGTGCTTCAAAAGGTTCTTCAAGCGATGCCATAGAAGAACCATTTTTGATTCCACAAAGAACCATTCAGTCAAAGGTTCTTTAAAGAACCATCTCTTTCTTACCTTTTTATAATCTGAAGAACCTTCTTTCGCCACAAAGAACCTTTTGTGAAACAGAAAGGTTCTTCAGATGTTAAAGGTTCTTTATGGAACCATTTAGACAAAAAGATTCTTCTATGGCATCGTGAAGCACCTTTATTTTTAAGAGTGTACTGGAAATGCATTAAATCAATAGTACACAGACACAGGCCAGTGCTGCTGATGGGATGTTTCTGTTACAGTTATCAGCATAGGAAATTATTTTTGGATAGTATAAAGAAATCATCTAATAAATGTGCATGTGAGCAGTCACAAGCACGATTTGTTAACTTTGAGGTTATATCTCTTTTAAAACCTCACAAAATGATCTGAGAAGTTTTAACGTATAAGAAAAAACAAATTCTACTTATACCGCAATAAAATAAGCAAATTTGAGAACATAGTTCTTGGCCACTGGAGGCCATTTTTTGGTTTATGCATTCATAGTAATTTATAAGAGCCATAATCTTCAGATTAAACCAGCACTGCCTTAGGCACACTGAAAAAATATGCAGCAGGAGAAGTATCTCTTTTGATTATTATTCAGGCCTCTCCTTGAATGCACTACTCAAAAAAAAGCCAAATCTTTACTATAAATAGACTATGACAAAATCAGTTTCAAAGTAGAGAATGTGATTTCACAGGAACTCTAAAACATTCATTGGCAATGTTTCAAAGATGTCTCTAAGGTTCCAGTGCGTCAACAGATGAACTATTTTAGGTAACTGAAGATGTACTGATTTTACAATTCTGGCCAATAACAGTAAGCCAATAATCTTAAATCATTCAAGGTATTTTATGGATCACCACATTATATGAACATTACAAAAATAAATGAATAAATAATAAATAATTAAAACAAAGATTATCGATGTGTGTTTTACAAGAAAATAATATTTCAGTCTTTGTACTTCAAAATTTCAAATGTAATTCAGTGTGTTACTGGTTGTTTCTTTGTAATTCTTTGCGAAGTTTATTACCAATTTTTTCAGTGTGAATAAAACAAAAGATTATTGTTTTACAAGAAAATACTATTCAGTATTTTACAGTGTTACTTTGTAAATTTTGTGAAATGTAAGTAAATTTAAAATAAATATTAAGTAAATTATTACGTAATATAATATTAAGTAAATCTTACACTAAATATGTTTCAATGTGTGTCACTCAAGTTGACACCATTTACAAATTAAATTTAGCCTTGTTCTTAGAGTCATACTGAAGGTTAGGCTTGCAAACAATATTTTGAAACAACCAGAACTTATGTCTGCACCCTGAAGAAGCTTTAGTCCTTCACAGATTGTCCTCTGCCATCTCCAGACACCAAAAATATATAGGGTTGAGTCCATGAGCTATGGTGAACCACACAGGAGATTATCTCTAGAGTAGCTGTGGAAATGCACTGCAGCTTTAGTGATTTAACACTTTAATGCGTTAGTGTTAGATTTATCAGTCTAAAAATGTCTATTCATAAAGTAAACATCTACCTTTAACATTTAGAGCAGTTGTAATGTAGAAAGCATGGATCGCTGTGGCTCAAACGCAATAGCCTTGCCTTTCCACCATAAACTAATAATAGCATTAGTTATAAATGTAGCGAATCAGCTCATGGGGAAATATGAATAATTAATCATAACTAGTTATAATTTGAAGGATGTGTGTTCATTCAAAGAAAGGTTTTCCTATTAATTAATTAGAGAAGAGTCAATTTTTCACTGTGCACTGTGGATTTCCTATGGAAATTGTAGTGAGAGGGGTGACTCTCAACATGCCATTAGGTCGTAAAATGTATCTGGTGTCAGGGTTGCCATGGTAACCAGGGTCCTGGGCCCTGTTCACAGACAACTTGGCACCCAGTATGTTTATTGGGTGAGGGGTCTGTGAACGTTTTGTTAATCTAATGAATAACTGATTTGTTAAATCAAATGAAAAATTGTGTGTTTGATTGGTCCAGACGCTACATAAATAAGCATTTTCTACTGTACCATAAAAATCTCCCTCTCTTGCCTTGAGTTTTTGCTCAATCCATTCTCAGGTTGTGCATGAATGATCATGACAAAATGAATTATTAGAGTACTAGTGTACCATAATAAGATATGCAGATGCACACATATGTGTCTCAAATTATTAAGCACATTCACCAGGGAATCATCAGCTTGTGAAGCATTTTAACAACCAAAGCTTGCTAGCAACCATAGATACAGATTAGATACAGATGTCAAACCAAATGAAGCAGAAAACACAAAAGATCAACACGATTAGGCGAAATAAGAATAAATGGCTACGCTGCACCAAGTGTCTAAGAGTGCTTAAAATATCTAATTAGGCTAACATTAATGGCTACTAGAACATTCTAGATTAGCACAAATACTGCATTTGGAGCATGTGCAAAGTAATCCAGCAAAAGGAAGCCAAAATCACACAATGCTACTCATATTTAAAAAAAAAAAAAAAATGTATTATATATATTATAATACATTTAGACCTTTCTTTTTTAAATCACTTTTGATCAGCTTTATATATTTTTGAATTTAACCATAACAGCAACCGCTGTCTGTTATGTATTGTATATATACTGTCATCTGAGGTTGAGCTGAGATTTTGGCGGTTGGGGAACCCTAATGCCCTGCACACACAACTCCCAGGTGCCCAGTATTTTTCCTACTTTTAGAAGGTGGCAGATTGCCATTATGGCCCAATTTAACCCTTGGCAACTGCCCTACTAAAAAGTCACTCTTTGGCAAAGTGTCTGCTACTACTATCATAGACGGAAGGAATTACAAACAGAATGTGCATTATGTTTGCTCTTTCGTGAACAAAATATATTCTGTATCTCATTCAAATATTGTGCGTTTGGTGGACAAAAGCATTTTGTGACATGCTCATTTCATTTTGTTCATGAAAGGGGTTTTCTCTTATACACAAAATGAAAAGTACATTCACTCTTGTGCACAAATTGAAGTAGCTTCTGCTAGTTTTGAGTCTAGAATTTTGTGTACAAAATGCAGAACTGACTTTACATTGCTTTTCACAAAAAGCAAGTGATTTTTGTCTTTCTGTATGCATTAAAGTCAAACGACTTTTAATTTAAATTATTTCAAGTTAAATTGTGCATACAAAACATTTAAATACCTGTCACATGTAATAACCATTACATTCACTGTAAAAAAAAATCAATATTTAAAAATTCTGTAAAAAATCTTCTGTAAAAAATTTGTTAATTGGTTAACTGTAAGTTACCTTATCATATACAGTGAACATTATACATAATTTTATTGTAAAATGTTGTCAATACGTGCTGTAGGATATCAGACCGAATCAGACAATCTAAGATTTGGTCAAAACCGAGTTGAGGCACGAGGAGTCACAAAAATTCCACAGAGGCCCAAGACAACAGGATGTCATAAATCAGGCATTAGCCCTCTGAAGCAAGCCTAAACCTAAACCCCTTTATCCAATAAAGCCTTATTTATATGGAAAAGAGAAGTATCTTGTGTTTTGTGCTCACAAGTTAATGTCTTAAACTGCCGACCTTGTTACCGTGCTAATTAATAGTGTTTTCACTATATTTTGGATATAGATATCCATTGCAGAATTGATGTCATACGGCTCGTTCACTGAATCGCTGGCCGTCTCAGTGATCCGCCGTAAAACAGTGATTCTGTCCTAATTCCCTTGCATATTAATGGTGGAGTTCCCTTTAAAATCTTAAATGATTCCCTTTGAGCTAAATTATTGACCTGTTTCCCTTACAGTGCTAATTCTTAAACTTTATTAAACGCATCGTTTCGGTCCACTGACCTTCATCAGGCAAATGTATAGAATTAAAAACAAGACATAATTATTTACTTTCACAATCAATGAGTATAATTGACAATCACATGTGGACTAATTACAAACACATGCGTAATAGATACCAATGGCTCAAGTATACAATAGAAGACACTTTACAACATCCCCAATGAAAAATATATCATTATTCACATAATTTTTTTATATCATCCCCTTGTTTTTAAACACACTGTTACTTAGATATACAGCAAACACAGTAAAAGTAAAAGGACAAAATTAATGTTTCATTTATAATAAAATAATTTTCTTCTATTTTTGTTATCAGTAATGTACATTAGGATGCTTTACCTTAGTGTCATGTGTTCCCATGATGGTCTTTTTCCTTTGTATGACCCTGTTTGAACTGTCTATATATGAGTATTGGTCTTGTTTTATGGACAGGCCACTTACGACGAACTCTGATTCATAATGTGATTTTCTATTTTACCCCCTGTATTATTATTATGGTGGTTATCAGTGCATTTTATGGTTAAAAAAATGTTGGTAGATTGGTATATTAACATTATATCACTTAATGAAATATACGGTTGTAAGATGAAAAATATAAAAGGCACCAATACACCATACCATAAAAACCTGAAACATTATTCATTACATTGTTCATTATTCATAACACTGTTCGTTGTTCACACTGAACCACTTGACTTTTGTATAGTAAATTTATTAGGATTTATTTATTATTTTATTTACTTTTAATGTTCAGGTGCGGCTATTTTTTAGCTTCAATATAGCTCAGAATCTCAATCTCTTAAACTGACATCATATATTATACTAGGAGTGAGACACATAGAGGAAGGTCTCAGATCAAGCTCCCCTGATGCATTACAGCCGCTGGACAATAGGAGAGCGATCAGTTTGGAAGCCACAGCAGGTTAGGTCCAGGTTATTGAGAGAAAACATAGATAACACATAAAGCTTAAGGACCTGCATGCGTTCCACCTTCACGCCACAGAAGCCAGAGCTGTTGTAAAGATTACACTGGGCCTCAGTCTCACATCCATCACAGGGCATCATTTCTGCAGATGAACCAGATAGCCATCAAACGGAGAAACACCAAACTCACCTCACCACCAGAGATTCAGCATACATCACACAGAGAAAACTGATAAATGAGGCCCATGAAACAACAGTTTCAGAAGCCCTGCTAAGATCTCATCAGTTTATATGAATATAACGTGGATCATAATGTCTCACAATAAACAGAGCCTGGACGCTACAAAATTCAATAAAATAAAATAAACTTTTGCTCTGCTTGCTGTTACTAATGAATCTTATCATACCATTTCTATATTATAGTTTAATCTGGAACTACACTACCATTCAAAGGTATGGGTCACTGAGATGCTTTTTAATGTTTTTGAAAGAAGTCTCTTATGCTCACTATAGCTATGATTATTGTCTATGGTAATATATTTTGAAATGTAAAACAGATTAGATTAGATTCTTTTAAAATGTAAGGTAGATTTAGCATTTAGCATTCATTCATACTAAAAGTTCAGCGTGGTTACATGCATTTTGACTACTTCTAAATGTGGTTTGATTTATCGGATCACAAAATGTTTCGAAACTGTTTAGAAATTTGTACAAGTTCAGAAAAATATGTTTAGCTTTCATAAATGGTTATTTTATCTAAGAAGACCAAGGGAAATTTGATTCCTCATGATATGAGCTTTTTACCATAAGATGCAGAGCAAATGCTTTTAATTCAAGAAATACAAACCCTCAGTTTATGGTTAATTTGAGTCATTATTAATGAGTCATTTTTATGCGATATGGATCATCTACTCTATGCAGTGCTGTTTGCAATATTAACTCAGACTACATTCAGAGCCAATGTACTATCTGTACCCACTTTAAAGTACAAGTTCACAAAAATCCACTAAAACCACCTCAAATTATGTGTAAAAGACTAACCAAGCATCGCTGGTCTCAGGTTTAAATCTATAGACCCTCATACTTTCAAGTGCTTGAGTTTTTCAGGAGAGAAATGACTTAAACAGAGACTCACAAGCAATGTGAAGACTAGCTTCTCTGCTGAGAATAGTCCCGAAAGAGTTGGAGGCCAGACACTGGTAAATACCAGAATCCTCTTCCTTATTGAGCTGGCTGATTCGAAGGTTTCCTCCTGAGATGCTGTATCGAGAGCCAGGTTGAGGGAGGATGAAGCTGTCATTAATTTTCCACCTATAAAACACAGGGGGAAATTAGCAGAGAGTGAAAGGAGAGTTTGGAGTACTAGAAGATATTTTTCTCTTCATTCAAAGTAAAACATAGTGAAATATGTTTGTTATTTGTAATATATTGTATATGGGACTTTGCACATATAGAATACAAAATAAGATCTGAATCTTTAAAAAATTGTCAGTGAAAAGAAATGCTATTAAATTTAAGTATAAAACTACTAAACTGAAATAAAAAAATAATAAATAAAAATGACAAAATTACTAAAACGTGAACTAAAATTGAAAACAAATAAATGTAAATATAAAAATAAATGTTAATTCAAATTATTAATAAATATTATAATAGTATATAAATAATGCTAAAATAACAATCTAGCTCAAGTCAAATAGAAATAAAATATTTTATATTTCTAATCATGTTTTGTTATTTATTTATTGAAGATGTTTGCAAGTTTTGCAACTCCATTCCCAAAATTTGTGTCATTTTATAATTTTCTTATTTGTGATAATCAACATGAATCAAACATGAACAAAATACAAAATAAAATCATTTTGATCTATTTAAAAATAATACTAAAGTGCTGAGCATGGACATACAGTGCCACATGACAAAAACACCAGCAACAACAAAGTAGAAAGCCGTTAGGTAGAAAGACAGGACTTCAACAACAGATCGATGGCCCAGACCAGTCACCCCAAGACATCAGAAACCACAAAACCCCAGGGACGCACATAAGTTCAGATCCCCTACTACAAAAGCCTTGTCTTTACATCATCACACAATTAATCAATACAGTCAGTCAGGTAACGTAATCACTGCCTTACCTCATTATTAAATCGTAATCACTGAAAAAAAAACAGACCTCTCTGTCAATGTGGCATACAAATGAGAACAAATGAGTCTGCTGTGTGAATCCCACAGCAAATAAGGGCCATTTTAATTGACAGACTGGAGAAAATGGAGAAAGGCAGTATAGTGGCCATCTGGTTTTAATGTGGACAAAGACATGATCCATGCCAATTACCGGTCTGATTACATGTACAATGGCCATCAATATAACTATACTATGATGCCACGTTTCTCTCCCACACACTAAAGGCCACGTCTAAGACCTTTCCATATTGATAGAAATTTGTACCGTGCTGCACAAGTTACTGCATGGGACTTTGGAGAGATACTATATATTTGCATGAACAGCCCACTGTTTGATCTGCCTGTCACTCAAACTCAATGACGCGCTTTAAAAAAATAAAAATAAAATCAACTGGTTCACTAGATCGAAATTCTTTCAGAAACTATATGTTGTAGACATACAGTATTAAATTTGAATACATTGAGTATTTTTCCAGTCTCCTGAGGAGGGCAAACAGTGCAGTTAGAAACCTTCAACTCTTTTCACATTCAAATGCTGAAAAAAATTCTGTCTAGCTTTTTAACTTGTGTACTTATATTTTCATTTTTTGCTCATTGTAGACAGATGTCAGATGTGCTTTAATCTAGTGGAGAAAAATAGATCTTTGAAATGTTTTTCTGTTAAGATGAAAATATATAAACTTGAATAAATGCTTGTGATGAGGTCAGAAAATAATGTAATTTTTCTGTTTTTATATACACTGCGGTTCAAAAGTTTGGGGTCAGTACACTCTTAAAAATAAAGGTGCTTCATGATAGAATAACCTTTTTGTCTAAATGGTTCCATAAAGAACCTTTACCATCTGAAGAACCTCTCGGTTTCACAAAAGGTTCTTTGTGGTGAAAGAAGGTTCCCTTTCAGTCGGTCACTACGAGTCACGTCGTGACCGATGAATTGGGATCTCGCTTAGAGAGACCAATCCACTTTGAGTGTAAACTAAATGAGCCAATGCACATTGGCATGCGATAATTGCATCCAGCTGCCGCTGATCACAGTGTGAGCATAAAAAGGCAGCCGGTGCAATGCATACCAGCTTTTCGCTTCGGAGCCGAGTGACAACATGGTTCTGCTCCTACCAACTGCTTCGTGTGTGACGAGTTTAGGCGCTCTAGGGAGCTTCTTGTGTTGGTGGACGGCGCTTCAGCGGTGGTCGTTCCTGTGTCGAGTGGGTTGCGCACTTCAGGCTGCACTACCCCCTGTTATGCTTCAGCGCTCCTCCCAACAACCAGATGTCGATCACTGCATTGGAGGGAGAGCTCTCTGGAGAGGAAGATTCGCCTGCGCTGCCGCCCTCCGGGACGGTGGCAAGGCCTGAATCGGATCCGAAGATGTCGGTTTTCCCGGGCCGCCGAGAGGGTAGGGCTCGAGTGGAAACCTCCACCACGTCCCGAGCCCTCGAGGTTGGACGATTGGTTTCTCAGGGTGGCTCGCGCTGGTTCTCAGTGCCCTGCCTCAGTGCCTTTCTTCCCGGAGGTGCATGAGGAGCTCACCAGGTCATGGACGGCACCTTTTACTGCCGGAAACCGACCAGCTGGTTCCTCCTCCCTCACCACCCTCGACGGGGGTGCAGCTAGGGGGTATACGGCGATCCCCCCGGTGGAGGGTTCGGTAGCGATGCAGTTGTGTCCTAAGACCGCCTCCTCCTGGCAGGGTAACCCGTCACTCCCCTCCCAGGTCTGTAGGCATTTGTCTGGTCTGACAGGCAGTGCTTATACAGCTTGTGGAGAAGCTGCCTCTGCCTTACACGCTATGGCGTTACTGCAGGTTTATCAGGCCAAGGTACTGAAGAACCTGCATAAAGGTAGTCATGATCTGTAAGTTCTGAAATAGCTCAGAACCACTACTGAAGCTCACCAGATCATGGACGGCACCTTTTACTGCCGGAAACCGACCTGCTGGTTCCTCCTCCCTCACCACCCTCGACGGGGGTAGTAGCAGTAGCGACGCAGTTGTGTCCTAAGACCGCCTCCTCCTGGCAGGGTAACCCGTCACTCCCCTCCCAGGTCTGTAGGCATTTGTCTGGTCTGACAGGCAGTGCTTATACAGCTTGTGGAGAAGCTGCCTCTGCCTTACACGCTATGGCGTTACTGCAGGTTTATCAGGCCAAGGTACTGAAGAACCTGCATAAAGGTAGTCATGATCTGTAAGTTCTGAAATAGCTCAGAACCACTACTGACCTCGCGCGTCGAATGACGAAGGTCACTACGAGTTCTCTGGGTCATGCGATGTCCACACATGTGGTCTAGGAGCGCCATCTCTGGCTGTGTCTGGTCGACATGAGGGACGCCGACAAAGTTCGGTTCCTGCATTCGCCCCCGAGCCGCAGCAGCCTCGAGCAAGCGGCGACCCAGAAAGCGAGGAAACTGCTCTTTGGGGGATGGTGAATGCACCTCTCCCTCCCCTGGAGGAGGGCCGGGTGGAGAATCTGGAAAATCTCGATGAGAGAACGGATTTCTCTGTCCCTGGGTCCCAGGAGGGCACTGAGAGTCACGGACAGACCAACACCGGACCACACTCATCCTCCATCGCCAGCAGGCAGCAGCAGGCGGTTTGAGAGCATCAACAAAGGCCCTACTCACGCACCCTCTGCCAAACTGTGGAACCAGGTAAGCATTGCATTGCACACTCAGATCCCTCTTCGGTCCGCTCACAAGCCGCCCGAGTTGTGTCCCTGCGTTCTACCTCACTGCCCCACTGCGGGTACCATGGTGGTTCCGCTGGTCCCGCTTGCACGGTATCTGGGTGCCTGGCTAGCACTACCCAGCCCATCTCGCTGGCTTCTGCGGACCATCAGCCTTGGCTATGGGATTCAGTTTGCCCGGCATTCCCCCAAGTTCAGTGGCATCCACTTCACGGCAGTCAAGGCGGCCGATGCTCCTGTCATGCGTGCAAAGATCGCAGTCCTACTGGCGAAGGACGTGATAGAGCCGGTCCCTCCAGCCGATTGACCATCCACAGACCATTTCTGCGGTTCGCGTTAAAAGGACGTGCATATCAGTACAAGGTCCTGCCCTTCGGGCTGTCCCTGTCTCCCCTTGTCTTCACGAAAGTTGCAGAGGGGGCTCTTTTTCCCCTCAGAGAGCAAGGTGTTCGCATCCTCAACTACCTCGACGATTGGCTCATACTAGCACAGTCTCGGGAGCAGTTGTGCGAGCACAGCGACCTGGTGCTCCGGCAGCACAGCCAGTTGGGTCTTCGGGTCAACTGGAAAAGGGCAAACTTTCCCCGACGCAGAGGATCTATTTTCTCGGTATGGAGTTGGATTCGGTCGAACAGACAGCATGCCTCACAGAGGAACGTGCGCGGTCGGTGCTGAACTGCTTGAATGCATTCAACGGCAGGACAGCGGTCCCACTGAAGCAATTTCAGAGGCTCCTGGGGCATATGGCAGCTGCAGCGGCAGTTACACCGCTGGGGCTGCTTCATATGAGACCGCTTCAGCACTGGCTTCATGGCCGAGTCCCGAGGTGGGCGAGGCAGTGCGGCACTCACCGGGGCCAAGTTACACCGGCTTGTCACCAAACCTTCACCCCGTGGTTAGACCTTGCATTTCTCTGGGCAGGGGTGCCCCTAGAACAGGTCTCCAGGCATGCTGTGGTTTACACGGATGCCTCCACCACAGGCTGGGGGGCCACGTACAATGGGCACGCAGTGTCGGGGGTATGGACGGACCCCCAACTGCAATGGCATATCAATTGCCTAGAGTTGTTAGCGGTGCGCCTTGCCTTGAACCATCTCAAAGGGCGCGTACGAGGCAAGCATGTGCTGGTCCGAACGGACAACACGGCAACCATTGCGTACATGAACCGACAAGGTGGTCTGCGCTCCCGTCGCATGTCGCAACTCGCCCGCCACCTCCTCCTTTGGAGTCGGAAGGTTCTGAGGTCACTTCGTGCCATTCATATTTCGAGTCTGCTCAACTGTACGGCCGACGAGCTGTCATGAGCTACGCTCCCAGGAGAATGGAGACTCCATCCCCAGACAATGTGCAAGATCAGGGAGGACGAGGTGCAGGTCCTGCTTGTGGATGGGGCAGCATCCATGGTGCTTTGGTAGGGATCCCAATTCGTCGGTCACGACATGACTCTGACATAGACTTCTGAAAAAATGTATCACCATTTGATGTTTTGAACATTGATAATAATAAGATTCAGCTTTGCATCTGTAGCGTCTGGACCACTCAGGAGGAGGCGCTTCAGGATATCAAGGCTCAGTGCCAGGCCTTTCGGTCTTGACTTTTCCATTCTTCAAGTTACTAGTTAATTATAACTAGTTATGGTTAATTATTCATATTTCCTGTTGTGAGCTAAATTCGCTACACATCACAGGAATAAATGACATTTTACTATATATTCAAGTAGAAAGTAGTTATTTTAAATGCTAATAATATTACACAATATTATTGTTTTTGCTGTATTGTCAATTAAATAAATGCCGCTTTGAGACTTCTTTAAAAAAAGAAGAATCTGTCTTACACTCTTAAAAATAAAGGTGCTTCAAAAGGTTCTTCAAGCGATGCCATAGAAGATCCATTTTTGGTTCCACAAAGAACCATTCAGTCAAAGGTTCTTTAAAGAACCATCCCTTTCTTACCTTTTGTAATCTGAAGAACGTCTCGGTTACATATGTAACCCTCGTTCCCTGAAGGAGGGAACAGAGACGTCACCGGCTCGGCTCCTCAGCGAAAACCTGGTATGCGTTGCACCGGCTGCCTTTTTATGCTCACGCTGTGATCAGCGGCAGCTGGATGCAATTATCGCATGCCAATGTGCATTGGCTCTTTTCGTTTACACTCGAAATGGATTGGTCTCTCTAAGCGAGATCCCAATTCATCAGTCACGACGTGACATCTCCGTTCCCTCCTTCAGGTAACCGAGACGTTCTTCAGATTACAAAAAGGTAAGAAAGAGATGGTTCTTTGACTGAATGTTTCTTTGTGGAACCAAAAATGTATCTGCTATGGCATCGCTTGAAGAACCTTTTGAAGCACCTTTATTTTTAAGAATGTAAATGCTGAGTTAAACTTTAACCCTTTTCTATACCAACTGTATGTGTGTGTGTGTGTGTGTGTATGTGTATGTTAGACCGGCTTAATGTGTTTATGTAGTATGTTTGACTAGTTTAAGTGTTTATGTAGTTAATAAAACTTTACTTGTATCACGCTTGACGTGTTCATTGTTTGCTCATAACCGGAGTCACTAATCATGCAGATTTACGTTACAAGCTTTTGTAGAATTGTACAGTAAGAAAGTTATTTCCCTTAACCAGGAAATTAACGTTCTTAGAATTGACAAGACAGTTGACCCTGAGTGGTCAGCTAAATATCTACAGCGGATCTAAAATATGAATAGTTAATTATAACTAGTTATGGTTAATTATTCATATTTCCTGTTGTGAGCTAAATTCGCTACACATCACAGGAATAAATGACATTTTACTATATATTCAAGTAGAAAGTAGTTATTTTAAATGCTAATAATATTACACAATATTATTGTTTTTGCTGTATTGTCAATTAAATAAATGCCGCTTTGAGACTTCTTTAAAAAAAGAAGAATCTGTCTTACACTCTTAAAAATAAAGGTGCTTCAAAAGGTTCTTCAAGCGATGCCATAGAAGATCCATTTTTGGTTCCACAAAGAACCATTCAGTCAAAGGTTCTTTAAAGAACCATCCCTTTCTTACCTTTTGTAATCTGAAGAACGTCTCGGTTACATATGTAACCCTCGTTCCCTGAAGGAGGGAACAGAGACGTCACCGGCTCGGCTCCTCAGCGAAAACCTGGTATGCGTTGCACCGGCTGCCTTTTTATGCTCACGCTGTGATCAGCGGCAGCTGGATGCAATTATCGCATGCCAATGTGCATTGGCTCTTTTCGTTTACACTCGAAATGGATTGGTCTCTCTAAGCGAGATCCCAATTCATCAGTCACGACGTGACATCTCCGTTCCCTCCTTCAGGTAACCGAGACGTTCTTCAGATTACAAAAAGGTAAGAAAGAGATGGTTCTTTGACTGAATGTTTCTTTGTGGAACCAAAAATGTATCTGCTATGGCATCGCTTGAAGAACCTTTTGAAGCACCTTTATTTTTAAGAATGTAAAACAGATTAAAAAACATTTTTGTTTTAAAGATGTCTCAAAGCTGCATTTATTTAATTGACAATACAGCAAAAACAATAATATTGTGTAATATTATTAGCATTTAAAATAACTACTTTCTACTTGAAAATATAGTAAAATGTAATTTATTCCTGTGATGCAAAGCTGAATCTTATTATTATCAATGTTCAAAACAGAAAATGGTGATACATTTTTTCAGAAGTCTATGAAGAATAGAAAGTTCAAAAGAACAGCATTTATTTGTAATATAAATCTTTTGTAACATTAAAAGTTTCTTACTGCCCCCAAACTTTTGAACATATAGGTGAATATATATATAGGTTACTTTTATGGTCATTGTGAAGAAACACAATATAAGCCTTAAAATGACTCTGATACCTTGTTTAACATCTAAGATGTTGTTTGATACATATATACTACAGTTAAAATAAGATTAAATTCAATTAAACTCACAGAGATCAGGAATCAAGCAGAAACACAGGAGGGAGTCAAAGAAAGAGCGCAGCCACAGAAAAGAAGTGGCTAAAGAAAACAGCTTTTCAAAGAGAAATTAAATCCAATTAGACTCAGTATGGGACTCCCACAAAAACAAATAAATAAAACAGAAAGGCCAAACCAGCTGAGACTAGTTCAGATTGACGAGTCAAATGTCAAGAGGAGTCAAATCAAGGACTGTAGCGACAATATAAAGGGCTCTCTGTAATGGCGGCAATGGAGAGCTTCACTCTGTGATAAATTAATGTGTCCTTGGCGGCTTGAAAAAGAGTTCCCTTCATGTTAGAAATACCCAACATGTGCTGAGAGCTCAGGAAACTTCCAAGGTTCTTACACTCAAACTCGAGCCTAGACTGAACAGGTTAATCTATTATGGATTTTCTATTTGTCTTTGCCACTGACAAAATATGATCAAATAAAGCTTGTCTTGGCTTTCTGATACCAAAATCCATGGGTACACTGGGATCTCACCTGTAGGACGGGGGCGGATGTCCCTGGGCTTCACAACTGAAGGTGACCTCTCGGCTGGGCTCATTAAGATGGAGAGGGAATACAATACTTCCCGGCTGTTTGGTGAATACTGGCCTCAGAGGACCGCTGCCTTCTAAAGGTGAAGAAGAAAAGAACAAAAGTACGCTGTTAGTCAATGCTAAGTTTAGCATAGCATGCCTTTTAGAGCAAAGCTGTTGTGAAAGGTATCCATCTGTTCATTGGATGAAAGCCTAGCTGTCATTCAATAGCTGTCAAGTGGGCAGCGTAAATGTGGCACAATCAAAGTAATCTTAAAAACACTTGAGATTATTGTTGGTAGGATGTTAGCTATGATACATATTCAAGATGCTAAGATCACAAACCCCAAAAGACCAACACATAAGTTAAAATACAATACTTTTGAGCTTAAATATTGATTTGAGACAGTACATTTCTTTACATACGGTGTACTGCTTATCTAGTACCATGTTATGCTATGTTTACAATTAAAAAATGTAGTCAGACAAAAAACAAGAGCTTATTCAATTTTCAAGAAACACATGGTGACCCACTAAGCTCGCTAATATGATTTCATCATACCAAAGACACTAACTTGCAGGAAAGTAGCTTAATTGTGTGTATCATGTAAACATTTAAAAGCCTAGAAATGTTGTGGTTTATTATTCTCCGTAATTACATGTTGATGGTTAGTGCAATCCACTTATCCTGTCTTATTAAGCACATGGCCTTCAGCAAGATGAGACATCCACCCAACAATGAGCAGGATAGGGAGTTTTTATGTGAGGGTGAATGCAATTTGCATAATCTAAAACTCATTGTGTGCCGAATTAACACAGCACAGAGCCTAATGTTACTGCAATGTGTCCAAAACACCAAAAACATCTCCATGTTTTGTTTCAAAAATGGTGATAAACATAATTTTGGGGTATTTAAATGACACAGCACTGAAACTATTCTGTATGTATTTCTGTATCTGCCATTTGACTTTCATGACCTTTCAAACATGTTATGCAGAGAGATTAGTAGTAAAAAAAAAAATTCATTCTACTAAAGTAACCAGTGTGATATCTTGATTTTCTAGTGAGTAAACTAATTTATAAACAGTTCTTAGCCTTTGTCTGTGTAGCCTGAATATGACATGCAATTTCCCCAAACAATTTTTAAACATTAATAATTTTATCAAGATCAATAATTAACAATAATTTTTGTCTAACATTCTGTTCCACCTTTGTTGTGTAAAGATGGCTTTTGTTGATGTTAATAAAATAATCTGACTGATTAAAGTAACATAACATATTTGCATAAAAGACAACACAGGTACATTTAATAGGGTAATTATAAAAACTGTCCATACAAAAGGTAAAAAGCCCCTTTAAATCAATACCAATGGGCAATACCAATAGTTCGCCCAAAAATGAACATTTACCCACCCTTAGACATCTCCAGTCAATCAATTAACATCTTGTGAAGCAAAAAAGCTGTGTTTGTAATAACAATAAAAAATTATTTAAAAAAAATCCAATGAGACATTTTTAACTTAAAATCGTTGCTTCTAACATACGAGTCCTCCTTCCATAATATTGCTTTGTCCAGTGAAAAAGTCATCTCATCTGAATCAGGAGAGAAATATGCACAGAACAAGCACTGTTTACAAGCAAAAACAGTCCAAAATGGTTTTAAACAAATAATGTCAGTGGATTTTGATGGACTTTTTCACTGGAGGAAGAGCTATTGGTTTATGGACTCGTATTTTGTCCAACAGTGACGGTTTAAATTTAAAATGCCTCATTGATGTATTTATTTCTAACAAACATGCAGCTTTTTGGACTGGAATGGTGTGATTATTGTCAGAGATGGGCATAAATACATGAAAATGTATTTTAAATACAAATACAAAATACTGTGTGGAAAAATGTACTTAAATGAAAATTACATTAGATTTTTTTTCAAAGGCAATACAAAATCCAAAAAAGTATTTTATATTTCAAATATGTATTTTAAATACATGTATCTGAAATACTGCCCATGGACTCTCATTCTGACGGCACCCATTCACTGCAGAGGAACCATTGGTGAGCAAGTGATGTAATGCTACATTTCTGCAAATCTGTTTTTTCCTTTAATTGAAAAGTTAATTTCTGACCCTAATGTGTTCAGGCGTACTATGGAAATCTCTTTCTTCAATAGAATCTGAGGCAGCAGTCACGCCTCACCAAGTACTTTTTTAACCTACATTTAGATGACTTTTTAGAGGAAACCATCCTCTTGAGAAATTAGTTCATGTTAAGCACATACTGCTGGTTGTTTATTTACTTTGTGCAGATATCAAGTTCCAGAGGTGTGCAAACTGAATTAATGCATCTGAAAATTCAGAACTAACAGGGTTTTTTTTCCATGCCAGAAACACTAAATTGGTCTACCTAGAGTTCAATTAGCATCTCACTAATGCAGGAGAGGTGGAGTTCATTGTGATTCTGGGTGATAATAGAGCACAGAAGAGCTCTCAGCGGAGGTGTCTGAAATCTATTGAATGGGGAATACACTGCACCAGGGCTAATTTCAATCTCACTGTCAGCAAGGGCTTTAACTCTTAAATACAATAGGAACAGAGAAGATGAAAAGACGTGAGTGAGAGCAAATGATAAATTGATACTTCACAACCATAATATTGACTCAGATTTCCCATTAGCTACCACAGTGCTTTCCACTGTTTAGCTGATCCATATTTCCAAAAGCCCGGCCTCCTCCCATTGCCACCTCTCTTATGATTTTATTTTTGTACTAAACTGTGCTGATGCTATTACAAAAAAATAATGCAGCTAAACAAAACATCTGTAGCAGTTACTACAATTACTGACATGCATGCAGTGATATTTTTAACTTAAAAACAAAACCATAAACTCATCCCCATGCCCATGAGTAGAATTCAGTAAAGGTGTTATTTACATGTTTTTCCAAAGCTAATACAGAGGTGACATATCCAGTTCTGTCTGCATATGTGATAATCAGCAGCAAACATGTTACATGTTTTCAGTTAATTACAATAGATATAGTCTAATAAAGGATTATAACCTAGTCACTACTCAAGGAAATTTATTTCAGTATAAAATGTTATATCACCTACTAGTCACCTACTGTTACTCAGTCCATTACACTGTATAACTTAAACTAGAATTTAATGTCATTGCTTTCCAAATACTGTAAATCAACATGTCTGTACTCTGCACAACCTGACCTGTGTTGCAGCCTGGAAACCACGCTATGCTAGTTTCATCTGGCCAGAGGAGAACTGGCCCCCAGAGTGAGCCTGGTTTCTCCCAAGGTTTTTTCTCCATTTCTGTCACAAATGGAGTTTTGTTTCGTTGCCACTGTTGCCTTTGGCTTGCTTAGTTGGGGACACTTGACTGACTGCACAGACGCTATCAGAAGAGAGCTGAACTGGATGATGACAACACTGAATCATCAATGAACTGACTTTAGCTGAAAAAATGACTCTTTGTTATTGTCGTCATGCATTATTGACAAACTATTTTCCTGTTTGACACTGTAAAGCTGCTTTGACACAATCAGTATTGTATAAAGTGCTATATTGATAAAGGTGACTTGACTTGACTCAACATAGTCTAATAGTAGTAATTTTATCTCTCTCACACGTGTCTCACATTGTCCCGCAAAATCACATTTGCTGTCCTGCAACAGAGCAATAACCAGGCGGTCACCCAATGGTTTCAATGATTTTGGACATTCCTACTTTTGTTGACATTTCAGTTTTGACTTGATGATTGTTTTGGGGAAAAAATTGTGTTCTCAAAAACATTTCTTAATAATGTCCTTATCTCTTTTCTTAAGATGGATATTTTCTTAAACACATGCATTGATTCGCTTCAGGAGGCCTTTATAAACCCCCCGGAGCCGTGTGGAGCACTTTTTATGATGGATGGATGCACTTTTATGGGCTTCAAAATCTCGACCCCCTTTCACTGCTATTATAAAGCTTGGAAGATCCAGGACATTAGTTAATATAACTCTTGATTGTATTTGTCAGAAAGAAGAAAGTCATACACACCTAGGATGACTTGAGGGTGAGTAAATCATGGGGTAATTTTCATTTTTGGGTGAACTATCCCTTTAATATCATTATTACAGTAATCTGCAAGAAGCATAAAAATACACTTTAAGTTTTAACCCCCAAGATTTTCTTCTTCTTAGAAGAACTTCTTAGAATTTATCTTTAATTTGTAATTTATTTAGGAAGATTTTCCTGAATTTGTTGCCCTGATCTCAGACACTATTTTATTTTTTAACAAAACATTGAAAGATCATGTTAAATCATTTGTGATTAATTCATATTAAAGCTCTAAGCCATTTCATAACGTCATAACCTCCCACTACTTTTTAAACTAAAGTGACTCCCACGGCATTAGTAGATACATTGTGTTCCACATGTACCCACCAAAAACTTCTTATGCAATCTTATGATGCACATCATCTGATAACATCTGAGATGTTATCAAAGGCTAAAACACATTAATTATCAAGTGACTCACTCATGCTAAGCAAAGAGCGCTCTCATAATCAAGGCTCTGGAACACGTCAAATGTGGGCGTCAGTATTAACACTGCACTAAAGCATCTGTCTGTATCTGATCAAGCTGTTCAAAATCAACATGAGCAATTTTCCATGGAACAGCTAAATAAGATATCCATACCAAAAATCTGGTACCAAAAGACATAAGGCGTATGTAAATAAAGACAGGGGCGAGAAAGATTTCAAAACTTCAGGTTAAGCTTGGAGCTGATGCAAACCTGAGAAATGCAGCCGAGTGAATTTCTATCATGCGAGGAATTAATGCTGCAATCACAGTTCATATTTGCCAGAGGACAAGAGGACGGAACTGTCTATTTCAGAAACACCATGTAATTACAAGCTTTGGTGATGCTGCAAATATTACAATATGTTATTAAAATATTGATGGGGAGTAATCTGAAACCACGTTGTCGCCTGCGGGTTTGACGCTACGTTGTGAGTTTATGTGAGGGCTTTACTGGTGCTGTGATTTCTGTCAACAGACCACAGCCATCCAAAGAGACACACAGTCGCTGAGAAATTATCTATCCCTGTTCAGCGCAGAATACTAACAAGAGGTTTACAACACAAAAGCCCACCTTGGTGGAAAGGGAGGTCATTATGAAGGAAGTTGGAGAAAGCAGGTCTTTCTCTCTCTTTCTCTCTCTACCTGAGGGGAAAATTTATATGGCAGCGCAGCCCCCCAGAGCAGCATCGGAGCTGGAGGGAAAAGCCAAGGAGCAATTTGGAGGCCCAAATAAAAACTAATCTCAAATTCAATACCATCTGACAAGCCGATGAATTCAGCCAGCTTACCTCAGCATGAAAATTCAGCCACAAACAGGGCGCACAGGGTGAGAGAGGGAGGGAGGGAAAGGGTTTAGATGTTCGTGTGCCCTCCAATCCGTTTGATTCTGATTCAAGGGTTTTATTCATGAAATGAAAAAGCCAATCTTGGTAAGTTAAAATACACACCTGCACTCACCCACGCAAACAAATACACACATGCGTGCACACAAACATAGAGCCCTGAAGAGTAGAGAACCATGAATTTAAGGAATTAAGTGTGGCATATTTGGGTAACTCTGTTGCAAACTGTAACAAACTTGCAGAAAGTTAATGAAATATATCACAATGGATCAATTATGCTGCATATTTATATGTGTTCAAAAGTGTATTTATGACTTTGGCCTTTTTCAATTTCAAAACATTTTTCTTCAATCTTGTCCCTGAAAGACCAATCATGTATCAATTCTGTATCAAAAAACAGTCAAAAACACAATTTAATGATTGTTTAAATACATACCATTGTCAAAAAGAAGTGCGCTAAACTATATTGAATGTGCAGTTGTAGTGTACTTCAAATCCTAACCCTGTATGATACGCAATACGATATCAGTGAGGAAAAAATTATTTGTGTTGTTTTTCTTGCTTAAAATGTATCTAGCTTTTAATGTATTACACATCTCATATTTAATAAAAAGTAACATTTCATATCCAGCTGTTGCTCTTAGGCAACATTGTACCATCGTGGATCACAAGCATAACCAAACCATCATATCAAGTACTCTTAAAAAAATGTACTTGCAGATGAGATATTAATTAAATAAAAGGCCTCTTAAGTGTACTTAAAGAGAGTTCACGTTCATGACTTTCTTAACACACTTAAGTACACTTTTAAAAAGTGTGCTTTTTAATAATGTCAAATTAAGTTTAACTGTAAAGTACATTTTTAATCTTTGTTGTTGACTAACATACTAAAGCACATGCAAAGTGCTTGATTTAATTAATAATAGTGTTAGTCAACATTACATTTAAAGATAATATATTTTAAATGTACTTAATTGAAACTTTAGCATTTAAAATGTGTAATTACTGTACACATATATATTTAAATGCATGACATACAAGTTTAGGTAGAAAATAAATTAAAGTATATTTTAGTTTAGCTTCCCAAAATGTAGTAAACTTCATACAGCATCTAATTCAGTCTGGCAGCTGTTGAGAAACAAAACATATGCATGTTTTGCATTTAAGCTGAATTAATCAACACTACGGATGTGTTAGTGCTTTCCTCTGATTGTGCTGTTTGTGTATTGTGTCTCTACTCCTCAATCAAAGCACATTTAATCAAGCACAATTATATCCTGCGTCTATTATGTTCTACTGCAGTTACAATTAACTGCCGCCATATGCTCAAAAGATAGAAATTAAAGCAAACTGTTTAACTGGTGTAATTGTTCACTGGTTTTTAGTCAACTTTCGAAGAGACAAAGCAAATGAATGCAGTTAGTGGCCACACCCATTCTCTAGTCTTTATATTATGTAATATACATTATTTAATATAAAACCACCACCTCATGGCCTGACTGTCACACATATTGTGTCTTTGCTCATCTCACCACTGCGCCCATCCGGAAGATTTGGATGGCTTTAGCATTCACAAACAAAGTGAAACCTTTACTTTGTTCCAGAAGATAAGAAACATCCCCTGAATGAGAGGACTGCCCTTAATAGTAAATGACAAGGACAAATGTATGCCATAGAAACAGACAGGAAAGTCTATAGAGGAGGTTATTAGGATGCCTACCTGAAAGGCATCCTATGAATAATTGCAGCACCAGCAGTTTCCATGACAACCTCATTTTAAATATTGGAGGTCAGCGAGAGCTCACATTCAATTGAGGGTAAATAGAATGCCGTCTTTGTCCAGACTTGATCCTCTGTGCCCTGAAATCAAAAGACAAGATGAGAAGAGTTAGCCAGACTAAAGTAGCCATGTTCAGCAACATTTCCTAGCTGTGTGTCAGGTAAATTAGTTTGTTTCTTCATGAAAACAGATTTGGAGAAAATTTAGCATCACTTGCTTACCAATGAATCATCTGCATTTAAATGGGTGCCGTCAGAATGAGAGTCCAAACAGCTAATAAAAACATCACAATAATCCACAAGTAATCCACACCACTCCAGTACATCAATTAACATCTTGTGAAGCCATAATATGCATGTTTGTAAGAAACAAATCCATCATTAAGACGTTTTAACTGTATTGTATTAACTGCCAAAATACGAGTCCATAATCCATAATAACGCTTCCTCCAGTGAAAAAGTCCATCCCATGTTCTCATATCAAAATTCACTGACTTATTTATTTTTAGACTGTTATCTCTTGTAAACATTGGTTGATCTCTGCATATTTCTCTCCTGATTCAGACGAGATGACTTTTTCACTGGAGAAAGCAATAATATGGATAGAGGAAGCAAGGACTGGAGTCGTGTGGGTTACTTGTGGATTATTGGGATGTTTTTATCAGCTGTTTGGACTCTCATTCTGACAGCACCCATTCACTGCAGAGGATCCATTGGTGAGCAAGTGATGTAAGGCTACATTTATCCAAATCGGATCAGATGAAGAAACAAACTCCATCTTGGATGGCCTGAGTGTGAGTAAATTTTTGGGTGAACTATTCCTTTAATGTGAACATGTAAAATAATAATAAAAAAAAGGTTTCAGTGTTTAGATCCATACACCTGTCAAACGGACTTTGAAAATTCTAAGCAATGTCTTAGAAATACTTTACTGCAGGTACTGTGAAAAATCTTGTTAATCTTTGATCATAAAAAATAAAGCTGACATAGAGTGTGGCGTATCTACAATTATATTACTCACGGATATAATTAGAGTCTTTACTTAAATCAACCCTTTCTGCCAACATCACACAAGGCTTTTAGGAGGGTTAAGAACTTGGCCCAAGGTACAAATCCCCTTATGCCATTCTCTGGCCTTCACAACTCTGATCATCTGGAGGGGAGACTTCAGGCAACTGGCTCCCACACATCTGGTCTAACACAAGATTACTCAAGCACTCCACACTCAGTGAATTCACAAGTATTTCCTCTTTTCTGTACAGTATATTCTTTGAAGATGAAACTAAAATGAAGTTTATAAATCAGATTCTGTAAGTACGACAGCAAAATTGCAAGTGTGGTATTAAACAATCATGCAAACAAGAAGTTAATAGAGTGCTGCAGTGATGATGTACAGTATTTTTGTAGGCCAGCCTAAAAGTTAGCATCTCACTGGTTCCCTTGACAAAAACCTGCAGACAATAAGCTCTGTGACCAACAAAAGTTTATGATTTTTAAACATTTTGTTTATCATGATAATCTTCACACATTAACACAACTTAGATTAGTTTACTTGTTCATTGTGATGATGTTTAATGTCCCCTGGTAACTGTAGTCCCATTTAGCCATTTTTAGCAATAGCTTTTTTCAAACCAAATGAAAAAAATTACAAGGAGGTATTACTGATGTATTTCTTATCATGAAATAAAACATAAAATATCTTGAGTATGAGTTAACCACAGACCTAATTTCAGGCATTCAAGCTCTGATTCTGATTTCTCCCTCTGTGTCCTTATTTGGCTGTTCTAGTTCTCATTATGAGTTAATCACCTCATCTGTCTGCCCCTCGTTATCCACCCTATATCAGTTCCTGTCCATTGTGTTCCAGTTGGTCAGTTATTGTGAATGTTACCCTGTGCGTGTGCCCCTACCCTCTTGTGAAGTTATTAAAGGTTTCTTGTATCCTGCATCCTCGTCATCCTGCCTGTTCTCTGGCACAGCAACACCGTGACAGAATAACTGGCCTAAAACAAGATGTCAGCGGCTGAAGACAGGCTTTGGTGTCTGCGGCAGGGTGGTCGGGATTTGGAGAGGTATGTGGAGGAGTTCCTAGAGCTCTCTCACCAGGTGAGCTTGTTTGATTCTATCCTCGGGGTCTGTTTTCGGCTGGGGTTGGATGATGACATAATCAGCGGTGATCTTCCCACATATAGTTTTCCCCTGATTGAGCTGGTTAATCAGGTCCTGTATCTAAATGGAGTTAATCTGGAAGTAGAAGAAGTTGGGAGCGATCATCCAGTCCCTCCCGAAAACCACCCCGCCTCACCAGCTCACCCCTCGCCCGGACCCTCCACATACCATCCAAACGTTCCATCTCATCCCAGCACTGTCTCTGTCCTCAGCCCACGGAGGGCTCCTGTTCCCGAGTCAAGCCCACGGAGGGCTCCTGTTCCAGAGTCAAGCCGACGGAGGGCTCCTGTTCCCCAGTCCAGCCCAGGAGGGGCCCCGGAGCCCCAGTCCAGCCCAGGAGGGGCCCAGGAAGAGCTCCAGCCCCAGAGCTTGCTCCCGTGTCGGCTCCAGCTCCAGAGCGCCCTCAAGAGCCCGTTCCAGCCCCAGAGCGCCCTCAAGAGCCCGTTCCTCCAGAGTGACCCCCAGGATTCCTAGATTTCCCCAAGAAGATTTTGGGGGGAGGGGCCATACACCCGTGGCTGAGCCAGCCAAGGCCACGGAGGATCCACCATGGCCTCCTGAGTCCCCTGCTCCACCGCGGCCTCCCAGGTCCCCTGCTCCCTGTGCGTGTGCCCCTACCCTCTTGTGAAGTTATTAAAGGTTTCTTGTATCCTGCATCCTCGTCGTCCTGCCTGTTCTCTGGCACAGCAACACCGTGACAATTAGCCATTTATTAGTACTAATTAAGCACATATTAATGCCTTATTCTACATTACCTTATTCTACATCCCTAATCCTACCCAATAGCTAAACTTAACAACTACCTTACTAACTATTAATATGCAGCAAATTATGAATTTATTGAGGGAAAAGTCGTAGTTAATAGTGAGTAAGTGTTCCCTATTCTAAAGTGTTACCCTAACCTTTTCTGGGTTTTTGCCAACAAAATACAATCTCTGCAGTACTCTACATCAAGTATCTATGATAATTATACCAGCTGTTTTGTTTCATTTTGTTTTGCCAATAAAATAGTTTCAAAAGCAGGAAAAACATGGCAAGTTACTAAGCAACACACACTAATATGGCCATGAATACAGACACACATAGAGATACAGTGAACCATTTCAATAGAGATATTGCTTGTATTAGTTCAATAAACAAGAATTAATGTGCAAGTTAATAAAACATACATTTTAGAGACTCTCCTAGAGAGTTCTCCTGAATGAATGAGCATTTTAAAATTAATTGTTTGAGTGAGTGATTCAATGAGTTAATGGCTGCTTAGTTGTTGAATCTATCAAACGGTGTCCAAAATCACACCCATACCCTTATATAATGCACTATTTGAGGGGATACACATTTGTAGTGGTGTTTAAAACTGTAGTCGACACTAGTGAACTCATTTACTCCTACCTCAATAACGAGTGTACAACCAATGTACACTCAGCCACTTGAGAATACGTGTATTGTAAGTGTCGTGCCGAATAAATTACCACATCTCACTAGAGGATGGCATTCACAGCACACTTCTAGCACACTCAGTGTCCGAATTGGTGCACGTTTACGTTCACTCATTCAGTCGACTATATCAGTGAAGTAATGTAGGGAATAGGGACTGATGGTATAGGGGATGATTTCAGATACATCCATAGTTTTTTCAACAAATTGTTTAAGTGAACAATTCAATGACTCACTCATAAAGACACTTGGAAAAGTCACTTGTCACCCCCTACTGGTGCATCAATATAACCTGCAGAAAGACTCTGTGTGGACTCTGAAAACAGTGAAAAGTCATGTGACTTTGTTTACGAAAATCCCTGATTAGGGATTGAATACAATAACACATGAACAGATAGCAAGAAAAATATTGATCAATAGATATGATCCATACCGTGTATGGTATATAAAAATAGTGAATGAGCCGTAAACGTCACGTGAATGAAACACATCAGTGCTTTTCAATCAACTCTGCCTCACCAATCAAATTCAAGGACCACAACTACAACAGTAACTTTAACATGGTGTAAAAATTAAAACAGCTTGGGTGTACTTTATTAATCCACTGAGCACTGTTTTGCAAGCTGTCTCTAATTGTGTGTGATATTTTAATAGGTTTTGGTATCCATGGTATAATTTCTAAAAGGATATTCTTGATTACATATGGCAACATTACTAATTATTTTACTAAAGTCCTTACAAGTGCAAGAGGTAAGGGCTGAAAATGGCCATGTTCAATGGGGCTTCACCTCACAATGGTCATCCAATAAGCAAGTGCTTTATGCAGCACAACACATTTGAATTTATGACCCATAGAAAAATCAAATACTTGAATGCTTACCAGACTTATTAGCAGAGAATGAAATGAAGGACATATTAAAACTAGTATTCAGCCAACAAGTGTCATGATAACCACACATCTTTACCTAACCTAGTGAAGTCTTTTGGGAGGACATCAATAAAACATTCTTCAATAATCACATCCTAAGAAGTATATTGCTATTGCATTGCTATTGATCTCAGACAGTTGCAAATCATATGTTGCCAAAATCCTATTTTGCTAGAATACTTTGCTATTTTTCAGTAGCTGTCAATGGAGACACATAAGGTTGCCAAATGCCATTTCCTAACAGCAGGGGTAAATTGACCAGGCCAAACTCTGACCCACTGTAAAAATGAAATACTTATGCATCCACACATTACAAATATGTGCACACAAAAACAAGAAAAAGCATCATTAACCATCTATTGTTTCTCCACATGAAATCAATAAATGGCTGTAACATAAACCTAGAAAATGACAGCATAACTATCACACGCCTTTGTAAAAACATGTCTTTACTATCAGGATCCATGCATTCCATTGGCCTTTTAAATGTTTGCTTTGTTTGTGTGATTGGCAGTTCATCCATTACGGCTTGTAGGTGCATTTCAAAGCTGTGAACATGACATACAATATATGTCTCGCTGCGGACCGAGTGCTCACAGCCAAAAATATGAGCTGAAAATGAAAATTTGAAATGAAATTTTTTTTGTCCTTTAAATTCTGCTTGATGCCATAACTCTGCTTGATGCCATAATAAAAGGCAAAATATGCCATGTTTTATGCTTTAAAAAGGGGATCTGTCTGGAATATTTGCAGACATTCACATTTGCACTGCAATCGGACAAAAGAGAGCAAGAATAAGGCACAGAACTTCCATTTGTACACCACAAAAATTGTGCCTAAGAGCAAGACTCCGGAAAGCATGCAGTGGCTGACTTTAAAGGAAGTGCCGATGGTGAGATTCACACGAAATGTACAGTATGCATGCGCTCTACTTTTTAAACATAAATGAGACAGACACCCACTCTTCCCAGATCTGGCACGATCTCGGCTAGAAAGTAACACTCTAAATCTTTTATCTGGTTTCCTTGACTTCACTTGATCCACAAACACCATATTTGAGAAGATTTTCTCTGCAAACCCAAGCATGTTTTCACCTATAGGCGACCAGCCCCTTTAGAGTGCAAAATGAACTGTGGTGTTGTTAAAACCTCAACTGACGTGAACATTTGAGAGTAGTGGTTGACAACACGGTCGAGGAGCGTGTAAAAATTCTCCAGCTGGTATTGTGAACTCTGACTGAACTCTAATCTAGAGGGTGTGAATGAAAAATTAATGTTCAGCATCCAAAAGAGCCAAGAAACCACAGTTACAGGATTTATCTAGCTGGATATGACTGAATTTTGAATGAAGCACTACAGAGAATCTGCTGGTTTGCATTCACACTTCTATTCATATTATACCACTGATTCTTATTATACCACTGTCACTCATAGTTATAAACTTTTAATGAAGTCTATGGGTCAAGTATACAAGTAAACTTGCCCCATAGACTTCCATTGTAAGTTTATTTGCATCAGCACAATTTTTTGCTTGTTTTTACCAACGTAGGGATGAACTGAATGTATTTTTCTGTAGTATTCGACAGCATCTGTGGCACGGGTCCCCGAATATGCCTTTATTCTCTCTCTGTTATGACAGAGGTGTGCGCACAGACTGAAATGATTCATGCTGTTTCTGACAAATATTATTTGGCTGTGAAATTGGTGGTGCAGAGATTTGAAGCACGCATCCAGCAGGTACGGCACATCTCACACCTCAGCCTCGACCTGCTGCATATAAACATCAGCTCTCTGTGACTCAACAAGCAATGCTGGGAGAAGGGGGAAATGTAATATGTCACAGAAGACAAGCCTTTCTCCTGGTCTCTTCCCCCTTGACTTGCATCAACACAGAGGTGTGTGCAAGCAATCTGGCTTCCCTAATGATGCCTTCAGAAATCATCCAGTGGTTTTTTGTTCTCTGACAAGCCAGCAGAGTGCAGCAAAAACTCTACCTCTAGTGCAAATTATTGCTATGTATGAATGAGTACTCAATTTTATTCTGGAATTTTATTCTTTCTTCAAAACAATGCCTGAATTGACTTGTGCTGTATATCAAGTCTCAAGAAAATAATACCAAACATGAAAAAATAAATACTTTTTTTAGAGATTGTAATTATATGAAGATTAAAATGCAGATTTAACACCTAAACCATATAATGTCAAATGATTTATTTATTTATTTTTAAGAAATGAGATGCATTGTCTTATGTGACTGCAATGCTGGATTTAATGTCACTGCTTCTCTAATCTTCAGAATAACTATGGGAGAGATGTACATAGGCTGGAAAAGGCATTGCGAAAAACTTAAATCAAGCCCATTGTCAAGAAAAATACAACTTTGATATGAGAGAATCCTCTAGTGAAAGAAATCAATCTATTTCAGAAACATCTAATCAAAATGCAGCATGTTTGTCCATAAGGGAAGTCCGTTTGACAATTAGCCAAACAAACAAAGAAACAAACAATAAATAACCAATCCAATCCATATTGCTTCAAAAAGGGTTGTGAAGTTATTCTATTGCAATTACTCACATCATTAAAAGGATGGTTCCTCTCAACCCAAGTCTCTAGTGGCATCATAAACACAAGTGGAATAGTTATTTGGCAGACAGGATACATTTTTAATGAAATTCCACAAATATATTTCAGTGTTTTAGTGGTTAGATAGATTCCAACCAGTTCTTCAAAGTCATATATTTTATAATTAATTCACAGATGGATAACTGAGAGAGGTCCATAAGCTGCAGCAGTGTCTGGACAGATGTTGATGAGGTTGACTGACCGAAAATGGTTGGGGAAAAAAGGTAGAGTAGAGAATCTAAGAACAGAGACTCTGTGTGGACTAATTATGCCAGTGGTTCTCAATTGAGTGGTTCTACGCCACGGCCTGCAGCATCTTCACACACCGACGAAACTTACTAGAGAAGTGTGAAGTGTGACTTACCACTGCAAATAAATACAATTTAAATTCACGTCTCGCACACTTTAATGCCCTTTGAATGGAACATAGGCCTAACAGCATACGCTCTTTTCGAACTGGAATCATGGTGGATTATCCTGTGATGTCCACAGGGCACTGGTCAAATAGAACAAACGTCTGGAGTGATAATTGAGACATACATAATGTGCAGAGCGGTGGTATGCGAGGACTGGAATTGACAACCACTGAATTATGCAATATTAATGAAACTAAACGAGGAACGTAGACGTAATTTTTAAACTGAATGAGGAGTTTGCAACAGCAAAAATAAAGGTTCCTCAATCGGTTATGTGGTTCTTTGAAGATTAAAACAGCTCTTCAGAGCAATTTTGGTTATAGGCGCTTTATATAGATGGTTTTCGAAAGAATATAGAATAAAAACTACTTTATGGAGCTTGGAATGATGTTATGAATGTATGCACCATCAGACTGTAAAAACCTTTCTGATTCTAATTGCAACCTTTATTTTTAAGACTAGAGCCAATTAGGAAAATGTTCACTAGCCTAACCAGAAAAAAAAAAACCATTCACTAACATAACCACAAATCTAAAAACATGGGTCTGTTTTATAATGAAGGGTCTACCAAAATCTTAACTCTTGTAATTATAAAAATGGCAAACATGTCTGTTTTATAATCTGCTTCTATGAAGGGTCTACCAAAATCTTAACTCTTGTAATTATAAAAATGGCAAACATTTCTCACAGCCCATAAAACAACAGGCTGCAGAAAAATATCTCAACTAAATCTAAAGCGTCATGCATCTCTTCTTCTTCTTTTAAAAAGCCCTAAACTATTAGTGTTGTTTCCGTCTCAAACTCGTTTACCTGCCTGACTTCCCACAGTTTTCAGCCTCTTCGCGTCTGCCACTGTAACAGCAGCATCTCTCTAGCCATTCCACGACGCCAGAGACGAGACGAGCGCTCTTCACAGGTGCAACTGCCACAGAGGAATTCTTTCTGCGTTTTTCTGCCTCCGGAAATCCAAGATACTCCTTAAAAGACGGTAAGATGCGCTGATGGTACCCCGCTGGATTACTGTGCGGCAAATGAGAAGTAAAGTAAACGCGTTACGCATGGAGTATTCTCAGTTCAGCCTCACAGACAGAGGTGAATGCGCGGATCCACTCCACACTGCGCCACGCGTCAACGTGTGTGGAGCCGCTCGCGCTCACATCCCCGCTGTGACGCAACACTAACTTCACCTCACTTGATCTGCTGTCAGTTCATCAGCACAGATGATAGAAAACACCGCTTCCCGTGGAAAGAGAGTGGGAGGGATATAAAACGACTTTCTGAGTAGTAAAAAGTGTTAGAAGATCCATCAATAATGGATTAAAAACATGATATCAGGTTTAAAATTTCCTCAGTGTTTGAGACCTCTGCCAATATGCATTGGGTAAAACTTGTGGGAAGTGCCTGCTAAACTGAGCAGTAGTATTCTCCTTTAAAAGAAGAAGAAGAAGAAGAAAACATTTAGAAAACCTATTCATTTTAAAGCATCTCATGAATTAATGAGAAAATAAAATATCCCTCAGGGTTGGGCAAAATGCACAACTGAAGAATTGGCTCCTTTTCAATTCATGAGTGCAAATTTGAATTGAATTGGCCCTCATGAGAGTGGATTGAGGATTTTTTGAAGGTTATGCAATAAGACTTCAATAATTATATGATTAATTGTGCCTATTTATTTCCTGATATGTTGAATAACTACGCCCAGTCCTTCAAAACAATTATCACCAGTGTTGGGGAAAGTTACATTTAAAAGTAATGCATTACAATATTGTGTTACTCCAAAAAAAAAAAAAGTAAGTAATTACGTTACTTGGTTCCTTTTTTATGGAAAGTAATGCGTTACGTTACTTTTGCGCTACTTTTTAAATCTGGACAGGGCTTGCTTGTTTGTTTTTAAAATAAAAAAGTTCTATTTTTGGCAAATATAAAAGCCTTTTCACACCAAAAGTGAAATGAATAAGCCTCCGGCTGAAGGGAAAGTAAAATTGCGTCCGTACAGTAGAATGCAGAAGAAGACATTTCAACACCAGCAATAAAAAAAGACGCAAATGTTTGTCTAGAGTAATTTTTGATTATTAGTACGGTTGAACTGGATCATCGAAGGTCAGAAGCAAAGGCATTGGTTAATAGAATGGGATTAAATACATAAAGCATATTTGTGTTGTTTAACATTTAATTATTGCAGGTTTGCGTCATATTCGGAGTCGCATTATTTTTATTCATTTTGAGGAATAATGAATCTGTGTTTTGTTTTTTTGTGAGTGTGATGAATTAATGCATATTCATATTTATTTTAGAACTACAGTAGCATCTTCTGATTTCTGTGACCATGGCAACACCAGAGCTGTCAATCAATAAATTGAAGGAAAAAAAGTAACTTGCGTTACTTATTTGAAAAAGTAACTCAAATATTCTCTTGTAAATTAAAAAGTAATGCGTTACTTTACTAGTTACTTGAAAAAAGTAATCTGATTACGTAACTTGCGTTACTTGTAATATATTACCCCCTAACACTGATTATCACAGCTTATATATATATATATATATATAAAAACACTGAATAGAAATCTGCTTGCATTCACACTTCTATTCATAAACCACTGACTCCGTAACTTACATACTTATAGATATCAACTTATTGAGCCTTATTCAATGCTTAATTATTTGATTATATAATAATGATTAAATATAAGCAATAAGGCTCAAGGCTATGCTGTATTATGAAAGTCACTCAGCTGTGTGTTATGTGGGGGGAAACTATACTTTGAATTTCATTCCATTTTAAATCTGCTTTCAAAATGCAGTTCTGCATCCTGAATGCATCCTCACTTCAATTTCAGGAATACACTGATATTACACATGCCATCAGAGATCAAAATCAGAGGCTGTCTCAGACTTTTAGCAGCTGTTCCTCGACTTTTGTTAAAAGTTACAAAAAACATTCCAAGATGGCTCTGCTGAGATGAACAAGTGTTGGAGGTCTATATTATATTATTTTCTTCAGATATTAAAGTCAGAAACCACACCGCACACATTGTTTGTCAATTACTAATCAAAGTATTTTCTGTGCTAATGTTTGTAAAATTGTGAATGAATTTAAAAGTTAAAATGTGTAAAACTGAGTACTATACATTTATTAGTACAGTCGTTGAAAGTTTTGTTAAAATAGTTAATAAACAAACAAAGGGCAATACATTTTTAGAACGGTTTGAATTTTGTTTGAACTGTACTGAATCTTTGGAAATCTGCGGAATCTTCTACAAAGTTCTGTTTGTGCAGATTCCACGTGGGCCTGCTAATGACTCTTAACCTTGGAGCTGTGTCTTTGAAAAGGGGATATATAGCCCGTGGTTTTTAAGTCATATAGCATCACTAGAATTATTTACGTTTATATAAAATTTTATAGATTTTGCACTATGCATTCCAAAAGTCTGGAAGCTTGAAACCGCAGTTAAATATCAAAATATATCACAATATCTTTTATAAAAGCAAATAAAAGAACTTCCCTGAGGATAGTCTACAGATCATGTCAGCACTCAGCACAAGGTTGAAGCACTTCACAACATGACACATAATCTTACACCACTTTAATGCATTCATTACATTGAATAAGGTCCTTTTTGACAGGGTGAATACATCGTTTTTATGTCATTGAAACAAAATGTACTCACAATATGACTGCAATTTCTTTTTCATTTTTTCAAACATGGTGGCTTTCAAAAGGCTTTCTTTCAGGAACAAGTAGCTTTCTTTCTTTTTTTTTATTTAACCAGTATCAACATTTAGTTCTATATAAATAGTTGTCACTTGTTGTATTGTACTGAAGAACGTGTGTCGGGGAGGTTTCAGAAGGCTGTGAGGATCCCTGTCATTATCTGACACTTGTTGAAATCAGTATTTTTATGTATGTTGTAATATACTGGCAGCAGTGTAACGGGGTGACAGGGACGAGAGACTGTCGGATCCATTTGCATAGCTTTATTTATAAACATGGTCAGAAACAGGCAGGGTCGAAACACCAGCAAACAGGTATGGCACAGGCGAGACAAAAGAATAATCCAAGGACAGACTTGATCAGGCTCTGGCGAACAATATCCAATAGGGCAAGGCAAACGGGTAATCCAACAGACAAACAATAATCCATGTGAGGTGCAAACAGAGTCCAAACAACAAAACGATAGAGAATTCCAAGACAGTCAGAAGATCAGTAAACAGGCAACAGGGCAACACGACGTGACTAGACTTAGACTGGAAACTAGGACTGGGAACTGGCTCCGTAGAGCAGCTATCACTAGGTGAGCAATAAACACAATACAATACTCGCGATCAGAACAGAGGAAGTCCCAGGCTTATAAACCGTGTCAGATTGGTTGCAGCTGTGTGTGTGTAATTGGTGCAATGGATGATGGGAACTGCAGTCCAGAGTGATATGCAACAGTCTGTGTAGTGTGATGCTGCGTTCAAGTCCTCCTGGGACGTTCGTACTTACGAGTTGACAAGTCGTAATTACGACATCAGGTGCGTTCAAGTCAGTTTAGTCGGCACAAGATGGCGGTGTACCTTCTTTTAATAAATTACAAGAAAATACAACAGGGTCTGTTAACTCTGCTTATAGAAAATGAAGAGCAAAGAATTCGCATCAGGTGTGTTTTGCATTTTTAATATTTTTAAAAAGTAATTTATGAAGCCACTTTAATCTGTATCGCATAAAAACGTTCAAAAAGCTTATTTAAAAAAAAAAAAAAAGCCTGACAATGTCACTTCTTAATACCTATAAGTATTGTGATTTATGTTTTACTTTGGCAATCTCTCTGTCTCCCTCTCTGTCTCCCTCTGTCAGACATGCAGTTCTACAGTACTTGTCACTGACAACCCACTAAACTATCAATTTAAACAACAATTTACCGTCAACTACAGACGTTGCATCCATCGATTCCGCCATGTTTCTCATTGACACTCCCCCAACTCGAAAACTCGGGGCTTAAAGAAAATTTAGAGTTTCCCACTTGTAATAACGACTTTGTGGTGGCATTCATGTGCGTTCAACTCGTAAATACGATCTATCCGACACGACTTGAACGCACCATTCGAGTCAATGTAACTGAAGAGTGACCTCTGGTGGCAAGCGGATGGAAGTCCATGGGCAGGATTCGTGACAAGCAGTGTGGGGGAAGCATCATGCTAAAACAAGTATGTACAGTTAGAGATGGCACATTATTAGAAGTATGTATGTATGTTTTAAACAAAATGGTTAAAGGAATATTCCAAATAGGTAGTATTATATATGCATTACTGAAGACTCAAACACCCACCCAACTGTGGAGGGTTTCACCTGTCTATCATTCAGTTTTAAAATCATGGTGGTGCCTTTTACACTGTCAGCTTGTCATTCTCCAAACCAAAAAAGGTCAAAATCTTAAACAAACTGTGAAAACCATCAGCTACAAATAGAATGGACTGACAAGTACTTGTTCATGCAAGCTACAGTAGTTCTCAACCAATGTGTCTATTATGTAACCACACCAAGCTGTAGAGAAGTTCAATATGAAGGGGCAATGTGCAGCTCTGGCATCAGTCTGATTTAGCCTCTTTGTTATGAACCAGGTTTGAAGGCACTTTTTGGTTGATTTTGTAATTGCTTGTCATGTTTTGTCTCAGGTTTAACTGTATTTTTGGAACAAGCCCTACGGTAGCAGTTCATTCACACTAATGAATCACTGACTATCATCAATATCATCCATTATTATGCAATTATTTAAAAATGGGCTTTTATGAGATGAGTTATTCTTGAAATTGAATGATTCCTGAAGGTAATGAGGAATAGATAGCAGTGAGGAGTGCACTGGAAGACAATGACTTCCGTTCAATTTAAAATAATTATTTTAATGAATATGTCGTGAATTGCATGAGAATTACTTCTGGTGATCCATATCAAAAAGCACACACACTCAACATTGCATCACACTGCACCTTTGCAAAAGTATGAGAAGTTTTACTGTAGCTGCTATGCTTTGCCTCTCTCTTCCTATTAGTTTACCTCCCCACTGATATGTGTCCACAAGTTAAATATTCTCTACATATCTGTTTAAGTCTTTGAGGCTGTCATGCCTTGACCTCT